ATCAGATCCAATCTGGCTCCTGCTGCATGCACTGGACCTGTGAGAGGAAACCCATGAAATGGCCAGTGTTCAGTTTGGGATTTTCTGAGTGCTACACTAAAACCATGGAGACTTCATGCAGTGTTTAGAGTCAGCTCTGGGCTGGGAAAATCGCCTAAAGCAACTAGGGCGTAGGGGAGCTGAATTTGAGAACAGTTGGCAAGAGAACAATTGTGTGCACTTGCATTTCACACATCTCCTCCAAGTGCCAGAGGAGGCTAGAGTACATTTCCCTGCCAGACTGGCACACCTCAATCACCCGTTGTGCCCCAGCAGCAGGAAAGGGATGAGACTGGAAGGGCTATAAGCCTCCCCACTGAAGCCAGCCTTCCCATCCCTGCAGCACCTTGCATGAGGAGAGGAAGGACTGCAAGAATGGCTGGATGTTTTCAGTACTCTAGGTGGCACTGAGCAGCCAGGTGCCAACTATCTGACATTCTATAGATTTCAATTATTTACACAATAGGAATGAAAAAGGAGCCTTAGGCTCTTAGGCGAATGCTGTCCAAAAGAGGAATGGCTCTGAAGAGCACTCTTCAAAAAATATCCTTTTGCACTTCCAGGGTGCCAGTGATAGATACCATAGGGAGGATCAATGCACCAGGATTTGATGCAGACCTCATGCATCTCTTGAGCTCCACCAACTGCATGTGGGGGGACAGGCTGCATCTGCAAACCATTGAATTCCACATGTGCCTTTGCTACAGCCCCTGCCCGGCACACTCCTTAAGTGCCCGTGGGAAGGCTTGGCACCAGCCAAATACAATACTAGTCCCACTTGAGATCAAGTGGAGCAGTCACACAAACTGAGTCATTCTGCACAGCCTAGTGACAAAGAATCAAGGCCCCTGGAGTGAGAGTGGGCTCCCTACAAGAACCAAGCTCTCAGGGTCTCTCAGGCACCTGCTCAAGCAGCACCAAGAGAGGTAAGTGATAGAAATGTAGCCGTGTTAGTCTGGGGTAGTTGAAGCAAAATGCAGGACAATGTAGCACTTTAAAGACTAACAAGATGGTTTATTAGATGATGAGCTTTCGTGGGCCAGACCCACTTCCTCAGATCAAAACAAGGGAGGTAACTAATGCTTGCTTTGTTTCTGGGAGTCCCGTCCTGGAGAAGGGGCTACAAGTCTGGGCTCAACAGTTTGCTCCCAGCCAGATATGCAATTTGGAGCAACAAATGTAAGCTTCTCAACTTTGCATCAGGCTGCTAGATCTGGGCGAGTAGAATGCTTTACAAGCGCCACAACGGGAAGGATGTGTTAGTGTCAGATGGCAATCTATACTTGTGTGTTCCCTTAAAAACTCTACTGAGAGCGCACACCGACATATCAATCATTAGATGAACTCTAACCCCAGACATGGCTGCCAAGCACCACTGCCAGTTACATGGATTGGTGTACAATGCTTGTTGAAACACTTAAAACGCTTGTTTAATCACCAGTTTCAGTGACCTGCGGCAACTATACCAGTGTTTGCCCAACGACAAACAACGTACCTCCGCTCTAACCATGGGACATGAGACCCATGTCCTCCATGCACAGCGTATGAGACCGGAGTCACCTACAGCAAGCACCACTGCCAGTTACATGGATTGGTGTACAATGCTTGTTGAAACACTTAAAACGCTTGTTTAATCACCAGTTTCAGTGACCTGCGGCAACTATACCAGTGTTTGCCCAACGACAAACAACGTACCTCCGCTCTAACCATGGGACATGAGACCCATGTCCTCCATGCACAGCGTATGAGACCGGAGTCACCTACAGCACACATCCCAAGTATCTTAGCTGGGCGTTGGGGAGGACTCCCAGCCACTCTTCAGAGACCCATGCTGCTGCTCCCCAAGAACAGAAGATCTGGGTGGGACCTCTCCCTGCCCCTAGATCCTTCACACAGCTGTCCAGGGAGCACTCACAGGGGATACCCATCCCCTGCTCAGCCTTCCAAGCCCTACTTCCTCAGAGCCACCAACATCACTCAGGTGCATTTTAGCACCAGACTCTTTGGGGCTCCTGTTCCAAACACCACCAGCCAGGCATGAGGCTCAGAGGGGAGTACCAGGAGTAACCCCCTCTCCTGTATCTGCAGAGCCCTGCCACTGTGAAGCCCCAACTGCACAAGGCTTAGGAGCAGAGCTGGCCTGGGCTTTAGCAGGGGCCT